TGTTTTGTTTTGTTTTGTTTTAGTGAGTTCTCCACCCAATGTGGGGCTTGAACTCACAACCTTGAGATCAAGAGTCCCATGCTCTACTGACTGAGCCAGCCAGGCACCTCTCTCTTTTTTTTTAAGTTTTTAAAAAGAGATTTTTGAGACAACCTGGGAAAATCAAATAAAGACTGGATATTAGATGACACCTGAGAACTACTGGTGACTTTCTTAGGTGTGATAATGCTGTGGTGGATATGTGGGAAACTGTCCTTATTCTTAAGAGGTTTCCACCGAGGCTTTTAGGAGTGAAATGATATTAATGTTTGCAACTTACTGTCAAATAGCTTGGCAAAAGAAAAAATATGTGTGTGTGAAGAGAGAAAGGGAGAGAAAGAGACTACAAAAGCAAATTAGTAAAATGGTAATTACAGAATCTAGAAAGTTTTAAGGCTATTCACTGTACTAATAATCTTTAAACTTCTCTCTATGTTTGAGATGATTCCTGATGAAAAGTTGGGGAAACAAGACAAAATAAAAAAGGAATGAATGGGAGATGAGGAGGTGGAGACCATCCTTTGCAGCAGTTTGGCCTTGAACTGGAAGTGAGAGAGGGGACACAAAGCTGGAGCAGGCATGTAGGGTCAAGAGAGTGTTGTTGTTGTTTTTTGTTAAAAATTTTTTTAACTGGGGCGCCTGGGTGGCTTAGTCGGTTAAGCATCCGACTTTCGCTTGGGTCATGATCTCGCGGTTCGTGGGTTCGAGCCCCTCGTCGGGCTCTGTGCTGACTGCCAGCTCAGAGCCTGGAGCCTGTTTCAGTCTGTGACTCCCTCTCTCTCTAGCCCTCCCCTGCTCACGCTATCTCTCTCTCTCTCCTAAAAATAAATAAAACATTAAAAAAAAAAAAAAAGATGGTCACATGAAGACTGTCTTTAAAAAAAAATTTTTTTTTTTAACGTTTATTCAGTTTTGAGAGACAGAGAGAGACAGAGTGCAAGCGGGGGAGGGGCAGAGAGATAGAGACACAGAATCTGAAGCAGGCTCCAGGCTCTGAGCTGCCAGCACAGAGCCCAACGCAGGGCTTGAACTCAAACCATGAGATCACAACCTGAGCTCAAGTGGGCCCCTTAACAAACTGAGCCACCCCGGCACCCCAAGAGAGTGTTTTTTTAAAAAATAGGGAGTTGAGAGGGTTCAAACACTAAATGGGTAAGAGCCAGCAGAAAGAGGAGCATGAAAGATTGAAGCTATTCTGGCCAAATTTCTGACTCATGCCTGGGGATAGACCGACCATGTGAGAGAGTCAATATACCCCAAGAAATGCTCTACCGGCCTCAAATCCCCAAACTTGGGGAGAAAGGAATCATGGTGGTGACACCTAGTGGATTCGAAGGGCACTGCTGAAATTCTTCACTCTCCCCTCCCTACACCTCCTCAAAAGGATGTCTCATGCTGGAGAGCAGATGACTAATGGGTCTGAAGGTGGCCAAGATGGGGATAAGGACCCATACCACTTCCTCTGCCCTCCCTGGGGGTAGAAGAGCTGGGACAGAAAGGACTGGTCCCTATGATCCTGCACCAGGGCATGGAGTACTCGAGGGTAGAGGACTAGCACCCTTTGGGGAGGGCAGAAGCTGTCCAGCCCCCAGACATCTGGCTCCCCTAGTAACCAGTCCAGCAGGGCAGGGGCAGCTCTCAGTGCCTCCCAGTGCCTCCCAGTGCCTCATCTCTGACTTCCCACTTCTGCACTTTGGCCATCAAACCTGCTTTAAGGCCTAAGTCATCTCTTTCAGGTTTTCTTTGATTGTCCCCCACCCCCCATCCCTAGACCAGTAGTGAATCTCTTTGGCTCAATTCCTAGCGCATTTATCATCCTGTGTTTTGTCCACTCCTACTGCTCCTATTTCAACCAACCTGATTTATTCATTCAGCAAATATGTATCGGGTACCTTCTCTGTGCCAGGTGCTGTTCTAGGCTCTGGATAGCAAACAAGACACTCATGGAGCCAACATTCTTGTAGGAGAGTGGCTGCAAAGAAAATACACAGAGATGGGGGCGCCTGGGTGGCTCAGTCGGTTAAGCGTCCAACTTCGGCTCAGGTCATGATCTCGCGGTTCGTGGGTTCAAGCCCTGCATTGGGCTCTGTGCTGACGCTAGCTCAGAGTCTGGAACCTCTCTTCGGATTCTGTGTCTCCTTCTCCCTCTGACCCTCCCCCATTTGCGCTGTCTCTCTCTGTCTCTCAAAAATAAATAAAACATTAGAAAATTTTAAAAAAGAAGAAAATACATAGAGAGTAGATATGATGTCAGGGAGTGATGAATGCCTTGAAAGTACAGAGGGTAGGGGGACAGAGTGAGGGGTGAGTGAGATGGATCAGAGTGGTCAGGGAAGAGCAAAGATGCTTCCCTGAGCCAGGAATGGGTGTCAGGTGTTTTAGGAACAGTAAAGCAGTCAGTGCAGCTATAATGGAGTAAGAGGAGAGGGGGAGGAGATGGGGTCAGAGAGGGAGGATCTTGATTTTTAACGTGTTACCGGAAATGGGAGTGTTACGATCTGAATTGTATTCGCTGAGATGTAACAAACCTACAGTTATTGCATAAAATCTCACAACTGAGTGAACACATACACACATAACCACCGCCAGGTCAAGATACAGAACATTCTTGGAGCACGTGGGTGGCTCAGTCGGTTAAGCGTCCGACTCTTGATTTCAGCTCAGGTCATGGTCTCACAGTTTTGTGGGTTCCAGCCTGCATTGGACTCTGCACTGACACTGCAGAGCCTGCTTGGGATTCTCTGTCTCCCTTTCTCTCTGCCCCTCCCCCACATGCGCTGTCTCTGCCTCTCTCAAAATAAATAAATAAAAATTTTAAAAAAGATATAAAACATTTTTATCACTACAGAGGGCTTCCTCATGCCCCTTCCCAGGCAATACTCTCTCCCATCCCCATCAAGTAGCCACTATTTTTCCTTCTATCCCCATAGATTAATTGCGCCTCTTGAACTTCTCTTAAGTAGAACTCTACAGTTTGTAGTCTTCTGCGTGTGGCTTCTTTTATTCAGCAGTATGTCTGTCAGTGACATTCCTTCATGCAGGTCATAGTTAGTTGTTCTTTTTTATTGCTATGTAGTATTCCATTGTAAGAGTATGCCACAATCGATTTGTCCATTCACCTGCTGAAGGACATTTGGACTTTTTCCAGTTTCACGGTCATTAATAAAACTGCTATGATCCTTGTTGTACGTGTCTTTCACTGGACATCAAGAACTGATTTTCTTTGGAGTGGAAATTCTAGGTCATAGGTTAGGCGTACATTTAGTTTTTGTAGACACTGCCAAACAGGTTTCTGAAGTGGCTGTGCCAATATACACTCCCCACCGACAGCATACAAAGGTTGCCGTCGCTCCACATCCTCACTGAAACTGGTACTGCCACCTTTTATTTTATTTATTATTATTTTTTTTAATTTAATGTCTTTATTTTATTTTGAAAGACAGAGAATGAGCGAGGGAAGGGCAGAGAGAGAGGGAGACACAGGATCTGAAGCAGGCTCCAGGCTCTGAGCTGTCAGCACAGAGCCCGACGCGGGGCTCGAACCCACAGACTGTGAGATCATGACTTGAGCCGAAGTCGGACGCTTAACCGATTGAGCCATCCAGGTGCCCCATGTTGCCACTTTTTAAAATTGTAGCCATTCATGATCTGATGTAGGTTTTTAACAGAGCAACCTGGCTCCGCTCTGAGAATCAAGTGGTGGGTTTAGGGTTGAGTTGGGCAGAGGAAGCCAAGACACCAGGTAAGAGGCTAGTGTGGTCAACTGGAGAAGACCCACAATTGGTTTGCACTAAGTGGTAATAGAGGAGTCAGAGAAGTGGACCGATCAGGATGCGTTCTGGAATTGTGGCGGGCAAGACTGGCTGATGAGTGAGGGATGAGAAGGAGGCATCAAGGGCGAATCCTGCATTCTTGCCTTGAAAACCTGGATGAATGAGAGGACCGTTTTCTAAGATGCAGGAGACAGGGAATAACAGATGTGGGCCCAGGGGAGCCTAAGAGTTCACGTGCAGCTGTCTGAATATGTCATCTCCTGGAGCTTAGGCTCTAGAAGCCCCCCATCCTAGTATAACTGGCAGATACTGGCTGTGTGAACAGCACATGCTGTCTGGGTAGCGGCTCGGGGGATGTGCGTGCTCTCTGCAGTGACAGATCTGAGTTAGGGGCCCGGTTCTGCCCCCTCACCCGCCTGTAACATGAACCTTATGCTAGGATTCCATCTTCCACCTTATGGTGTTAGAATTTAACAAGATCACATGCCTAGGGCACCCAGGACATGGAAGAACTCAAACTTCTACTCTTCCAAGTTCCAGACACTATGTGGCAAGCCTTAAGAGGCTGGCACCTTTCCCTCTCATCCACAGGGATGAGAACAGCCCTACTGAGGGGCCCAGCACACTGAGAGGCGGTCCTCTCTCCCCTCCTCACCCCTTCCCCAGCCTCGGAGAGACAGAATGGAGGACAGCAAGCAGCCTGATTCATAGACTTTATCAGCTTTTTCTCCAGCCAGCGGTTTCTGCAGATGACCGAGCCTGTACAGTACACACGGTTCGCTCTGGCAAAGCTGGGGAGGAGCGGGGCAGGCGTCAAGGCCGGGGGCAGGCAGCCGCTGAGACTGGACCAATGGGCCCCAGTGCTTGAGAAGGGCTGTGGGAGAAGCTGGGCAGGGTCAGGAGGAAGGGCAGCCTTGGGGAGAGGAGGGCACGGGTTAAGCGGCAGGGAGGAAGCAGGGAGCGGGAGGGGGGCCTATGGTCACTGTCGGTGAGGGATGAAGGTGGGACACAGTGCCCGTGTATGTATGGGGGAGGGGTGGGGGGTCCACAGACATCTTTTGTGGCAGGAACAAGACAGACCACCGTATAAAAGGGACTGTACAACGTAACCTATGATACAATGTTTACATATGATACAACGCTCTTTCCCTCTTTGAGTTTTAAAAAATAAATTTACAATTCCAGAGCTTTCGGTAAAAAATATATACACCCTCAGAGCAGGAGCAGCAGCTGTTTTTGCTGTTGCTGCTGCTGCTGCCTCTTCAGAAGGGAAAGAGGTGGCGCCAGAAAGGAGGGTGAGGCTGTGCCAGGAAACCTCACCCGGTAGCTGCCAGGAGCCCTGCGCCCCTCAAGCCCTGGAGGCCCGTGCGTGTGTGGGGGGTAGACAGAGAGGTATCAAAGGCGTCACCACAGTCCACTGTTGCCTTTAGGGTCTCGGCTATCCCCCCACTTCCGGGGGCTGCCTGCCCAGGTACAGGGGTCCGCCCCACCCCAGCTCTGATGGGGGGGGACCAAGGGGGAGTCAAGACAGGGGGAAGGATAGAGACCACGTTGTCAGTGTCCCACAGAAGAGCCAGGAGGAGGGGATGACAGCTCCCTTCTTAGCAGTGAGACACCCCAAAAGAAGGAGTGTGGGCAGCAAACACCCCCAACTCCTGATACCACCACATCCCACCCTGCAATGCAGAGGGAGTGTCCTGTAGGCAGCTTAGACCTGTGTTTCCCTGAGCATCTTTTACCCTCTCCCTGGAGCCCACCCAGAGACCTTGGGGAGGCCCGACGGGAGGACTCGCAAGGGCTGACAGGTAACCCCTCCCCCCTGCCGCGGCCCCCTGCCCCACGAGCAGCTTCACCCACAGGCCTGGGCATGTGAGGCAGCACAAGGAGCTGAGCCGGGAGAGGTGGGGGCGGGGAAATCACCCCACACCATCACAGGGCCGAGTAGACCAGGGTAGCACCGAACAGAAGGACCCCCTCTACACACAACACCCTCCCTCAATTACCAGATGCACTGCTTTTAAAGGGGACAGGTGCACACACACACGCGCACGCTCACACACACGCACACGCACACAGGGGCAATAAAATATTCCAGGGGGGTGCAGCCAGGGGGGTCCCAGCCCTGACCGGGAAGAAGCCAGCCAGGGGTGGAGAGGGAGGCTGCCAGTCCCTTCCACAGTTCCGCTCTGTCTCACAGACAATGTGGGCAGCTTTCCTGTCTGCATGGGCGGAGGAGGTTGGAAACTTCATCTCTGGAACAGACGTTGATGGGAGGGGGCAGAGGAAGGAGCTTTCTGCCCCCCTTCCCTGCGAGGGCAGGACCCAGCAGAGGGTGGTTTTGGCTTGAAGGAGCAAGGGGGAGAGGACTGCAGCAGGATGGACAGGCTGATGAGCCCGGGGGTAAGTCCATCCGACTCTTTCCTGACGGGCAGGAAGTTGCTCCGGGGGAAAGATGTCAGAAGCAGGTTGGGATAGCGTGCAAAGTGCTTGAGTGCCAGGTGCCCGAGGACCCTGGTGGGGCGCCGACCAGAACCTCTGTTCTCACTGACTATTAGCCTCCAGCTTGTAGGAGAGCTCGAAGAGAAGGTTCTGGTTGTCGATGACCTGGAACTGGCGCACGTAGGCCTTGGTCTGCAGGTGATGGGGGGACGCCTCCATATCCAGGCCTGGGGGTGTGACAAGAGAGAGGCCTTCAGGCTCCCAGCCTCCCTTCTTGCTCTGGTGGGCACCGCCAGCCAGAGAAGAGGGTGTGGATTGGGACAGATGTTGGGCGGGAGGCTGCCTGGAGAGGATGCAGAGCTGACAAGTTTAAGGAAATAAAGGATTGAGGAGGGCCTCCTCCGGGAACCCTCCCACTCAGCCAAAGCTCTACCTGTAAAGCTCTCGGAAGCCTGGGTACTCACAAAGGGGCCGGCTCCGGTATTTGCGGATTGTCCTCACCTTTTCGGCCACTGAATGCTGGGAGATGACAAGGAATAAGGCCTAAAAAGGGTATAGAAAGATGCTCCCCCCTCTTAAGCTCCCCCTGCTCCATTCTCCAATTCTGCTGCTTTGACTCTACTCCCTCCAGGGTCTAATTCTGTGAGGGTCTGTGAAGAACCAAAGGAGGGGTGTAATGGGGCCGGGGAGGGGAGGTAGAGTTGCGCCTGTCAGCTTCATGGCCCAAGGGCTGGTTGCCACAGCAATGACAGCAGGGACGGTCAGGAGTCTGTCAGGCAAGCTGGGCACCAAGAAGGAAGGCTGCTGTTTTTAGGGGGCTGCCAGGACAGGGGCTGGGTGGGGGCGCAGATGCCAGCCCCCGCCCCCGGGCCAGGGTCGGCCATGCCACTCACCAGCTTCTCAATGTTCACCAAACCATCGACAATGGTCTTACTCCCCTCGTGCAAGAAAGTCAGGTCTAGGGGATGGAAGAGAAGCAAATGTGAGGAAGAGAGGAGGTCCAAAGGGCTCTTCGCATCCCCCGCGACCCCTCAATGGGGGGATGGGCTCCTCTCCAGTGGACACTCAGAGCTAAGTGCCAGGGGTTGATAGCCAGAACCGGGGCGCGGAGACTGCCGCTGGAAGAGCACAGGAGTGACTCTCACCTTTGAGGATCAGAGGCACAAAGGGAATCACAGGAGGTTTCATCTTGGAGATGACTTCTCGGTAGCTTTTGTGGTTCCTGCAGGGGTCCTGGCATTCCACAGAAGAGAGGTTAGGGGACAGATGGTCCCAGCGCACCTCAAAGGTGTCCCCTACTCCTCCCTCAGGCCCTGCCCTCGATCCATCTCTGATCAGAGAGAGGTATGTATGGACTGTTGTCACCTCACCTCCAAGGCAAACAGGGTAGCAACCCTCCCACCCTTCCCCTCCCAGCATGTGGTGCGGAGGGGTGGGGGAGGGCTCAGGCACTAAAAACCTTTTTAAAGGGAAGCTTGAAGAGGAAGGTTTATGGGAACAGAGGGTCTCTGAGGTGCAAGTCCAGGGGCAGATAAAAGAGCTGAACCCACTCACTGTCAGGTTCTCAAATTTGCGGAACAAATTCTTGAATTTCCCTGGCAGCTTCTGTAGAGTTTGGAGGAAGGAGAAGAAACGTCAGAGTGGAGCTCCTTGCGTTTCATGGCAGCTCTGGCTAGTCCCGGGGTGTTAGAGGGGGAAAGGGCCAGGCTATCCTGCAAGGGGCTGGCAAGCTCGTCTGGTGGGCAGGGAGCTAGAATCAGCCCTTGGTGAGGTCTGGGGAGCTTGACGCCGCCCAGAGAATGAATTATTCGGGGGAATTCGAGCCTCTGCGTTGGCATGGGCCACGCACAAGGGGCCTCACTGAGTGCTGGCTGCAAGCCAGTATCCAGGTCTGCGACCTGGACCTGGCCTGGGCTGCCTGCCCCCCGCCGGACTGGATTCCGGCTTTTTCCTAATGTGCACAAGGACAGGGCTCGTTAGCCGAGCGGCGTGCCCCGGGCCTGGGTCCGCCAGAAGAGGGCGCCTCCTTCCGCCTGGCACAAGGGCTCCCAAGCATGGGCCAGCCGCAGGCGCGGGAGGCAGCGCGGGGGTGAGCCGGGCCAGCTCCGGCGGGAGGACGGATCAGCGCAGCCATGCATCACCTCCCAGGTGAGCCGCAGGCGGCTGACCGCGGCGTTGTCCAGCCCCATGACCACTGCGTAGAAGGACAGCAGGTCCTGGTTCTGCTTACATCTGCGGGGGGGGGGGGGGGGGGGGGGGGGGGGAGACGGGAGGGAGGAGGGACTCCGTGCTCCCGCTCTGCCCCGCTGGCCGCACTCACATGGCCGCGATCTTGAGGAACTTCTTGAGCAGCTGCGCGCGCTTGCCCGGGGCCTCGCACAGCAACACCTCGGTGGCCACCCAGTGCGTGACCTCGCTGCAGCGCTGCAGCAGCAGCTCCAGGTTGGCAGTCTCCCGGCGGCCGCGCTCCCCGTGGAACACATAGTCCACGAATTCCAGCTGCACCCACGGCGGCGGGGAGAAGGGGCCACGGGGCGTGGGGGGTGTGTGGCCGGGAGGAGGCAAAGGCAGGAAGGGCAGGGGCGGGAGGGGTGGAAAATAGAAAAAGCGGGGACAAGACAGGATGCAACAGAAATGGGGGAGGAGGGAAGCAACATTAATACTCTCCCATCTATTGAGCGCTTTTTAGGTGCCAGGCCCTTGAACCATCTGGTAGACATTATTGTGACTGCCTTCATTCCTTTCTTTAATAGAGAATATTTTAAAGATACTAACCACGTTACACCGTTAGGCCCACCTTACTAAGGTCTCTCACTTTGCTGCTTTTTTCAGATTGGAGACGTTAGGGCTTAGAGGGTCTGGGGGTGAATTGCCCGAGGGCAGCCCCGCCAGCTACCTTCTAACCCAAAGTTCAGCTGCACACAATGCCCGTCTCCAGGACCCCACCTTGGCACATTTCTCCCTCCAGGCCCCCAGCCCAGCACCAGCTTCAGTCCCCACCTCATGCACACATCGAAACAGCTCCCAGTGGAAGGCAGTTAGGTGGTTGGCGACGTCCTCAGGCTCCACTCGGTGGATCTCTGTGTCTCCAGGGGAGACCTGGATCTCCTCGGGGAGGGGCATCTGGTGGCAGGCAGGGACACAGGGCTGGGCTCCACTCTGGGCTTGTAAGTTTCTGCCCAGAGTTGCCGTGGGCCCTCACTCCCAGCCAAGGCCTTGTGACGGAGTTCTTACCAGTGCCTCATAGCTGTCGCGGGTGCAGGCAAACAGGTGGCTGTTGATGCCCAGCGTGGTGAAGACACAGTCTTCGGTCGGCTGCAGAAGGACCTTCTCTGCAGGAGAACGAGCTGTTCTGCCTCAGCCCCGGCCACCTGCACCCTCCCACACCCCAGCCACTGTCGCCATCCCATCTAGAAACTCCTAACCCTGCACGGACACATTCTAGACTAACGGGACTCATGTTATCACCAGGTTGTGCCGTATTCATCTGACATTTTTCAAATAATGATTTCCTTTGCATTCATCACTTCCTTTTACCCTTCAACGTTCTTCCAGAGCTCTCCTCTCATTCTGTCGTCCCCGGGATACGGGAATATTTTTTTCCTTGCCTCAGAGAAAAATAGGATTCTGGCTACACTGCAGGCTCTCTGCCTTCCCACAGGGATTGGAGGCTCACCCTGTGTTTTTAGCCTCAAAAACGTAGCATCCTAAGCTGCTCCAGGAGGTTATAAAGAACCAGATCCCAAGATGAGTAAGAGGCAGGCACCTAGATCAGAATCCAAATGTCTTGGGCCAGTGCTTTCCAAACTTTAATTTCCAGGAATCACCTGGGAATCTTGTTAAAATGCTCATTCTGAGTCAGCAGGTCTGGAGTGGGGTCTGAGGTACTGCAGTTTTAATAAGCTCCCACTCGATGCTCATATGGCTGGCCCCAGGACCATACTTCAAGTAGCCAGGGCCTAGAATTCGTCTTTACCCATGCCCCAGGGCACTGGGCAGGTGAGTTTCTCCTCTCCTGCCTCCCCCCCCGCCCCCCAGCCCCCAGCCCAGCTCTTCCTGAGCCTCACCTCCGGACGAAGCCACAGCTACCAGGATGAGCGAGTCCTCGCGCCCTGCAGGCTCCTCCGAGTACTGCAATTTCTCTGTCACAGAGCCCAGAATGTCCTGCACAGACGCTGAGAGGCGGCTGCGTATGGTCACGTAAGAGTGGTCAGGCATGTAGACCCGGCAGAAGACTGACCAGAGACAGGAAAGTGGCGTTTCATTAGAAGGCAGAATGGCAGCGCTGGCATCATCCCCTCCAGGGCACCTCTGTTCCCCATCCCATCTCACCCCTAACCCTAAAATGGTTGGCTTCTAAAAAAGATGCTGGAAACAGGTCAGGCTCTAAGATACAAGGAGAATGTCCAAGACCCAGAGACCCCAGAGGGCCCTTTGAGGCACTCTAGAAGCTCTGCCCCTTGTCGTGCCCCCACTCACTCTCATCAGAGCCCCGGAAGGCCACTCGGGTCTGCAGACAAGAGTCTATCCGGCGGAAGTGGCGGAACAGTGGCTTCACCTGCTTGCTGGGCGGCTGGCTTTCCTCTGGGATCCTGGCATGGACACAGCTGGGCGTCAGGAAGTCCTGCCGGGCATGTGGAGCGCCAGGCAGGCAACATCATGCAGGGACATCAGAACTGAGTCAAGGATGCACCAGCACCAGGTTCAGAAAGTGATGAAGGAGGTCAGAGAGAGACAATGAACAGCATGGGACAACTGTCCAAGTGACCCAAATCAAATGCCACCTCTTTCATGAAGTCTTCTCTGATGTACCCCACCCACCAGGAAAGGGCACTTTTTGGCTTTAACTGCTGTAGAACACTGGGCTAATATTTGTTTATGTCCGTATCTTATCTCTTCTATGAGACTGAGAGCGTTTGAGGGCTGGGCTTAGTTCTTCTTGAAATTTTTTTTTCACCCCGCAGGCCCAGCACACTACTTGGCCCATGATAAGTGTAGGTCATCTGCTGTTTGCTGAATTTTGCTGACAAGAACTTCACAGCCTGGGAGGAGACAGATGTGTATACAGCTACTTCTAACACAAGGCAGGAGGTGTTAGGTGATATCACAAAGGTACAAGGAGAGTTCTGTTGATAGGAGGCAGGGAGAACTTTCATCAAGAAGATGGCATTTGGGGCACCTGGGTGGCTCAGTCCGTTAAGCGTCTGACTTCAGCTCAGGTCAGGTCATGATCTCATGGTTCGTGGGTTCCAGCCTTCTTGGGATCCTCTATCACCCGACTCTCTCTGCCCCTCCCCCACTCATGCTCTGTCTCTCTCTCAAAAATTAAAATAATAAAAACATTTTTAAAAATTAAAAAAAAAAAACAAGAAGACAGCATTTGAGGGGCACCTGGGTGGTTCAGTCGGTTAAGTGTCTGACTTCAGCTCAGGTCATGATCTCAATGGTTCATGAGTTTGAGCCTGGCATCAGGCTCTCTGGTGTCAGCTCAGAGTCCACTTTGGATCCTCTATCCCCCTCTTTCTCTGTCCCTTCTCCACTCATGCTCTCTCTCTCAAAAAAAACAAAAAACAAAAAACAAAAAAAACGAATAAACTTAAAAAAAAAAAAGATGGCATCTGACTTGGGCCTTGAAGGACAACAGAAACAGAAGTGGGTATAGGGCAGTCCTTCTGGACTGGACCATGTAAATGATGGCAGGAAACTGGGGGAACCCAGGAGTTCAGGGGTGTATAGGGAGTGTCATGGGGGCTGGGAGATAAGGTGAGAAGCATTGGCAGAAGGCAGAAAGGCAAGGGCGTTCATTGAATGCTGTGCAAGGATGTTGCAATTTTGTCTTTTAGGCAATGGGGAGCCGAGGATGTTTTTGGACTAGGAGTACAATGTCATCAAACTGGAAAGATCTCTCTGGTGTCAGCATAAGAAGGGAGAGGACATGGGGTGCCTGGGTGGTTCAGTGGGTTAAGTGTCCGACTTCAGCTCAGGTCATGATCTCACAGTTTGTGGGTTCAAGCCCCACGTCGGGCTCTGTGCTGACAGCTAGCTCAGAGCCTGGAGCCTGTTTCAGATTCTGTATCTCCTTCTCTCTCTCTGGCCCTCCCCTGCTCATGCTGTCTCTATCTCTCTCTCAGAAATAAATAAAACATTAAAAACTTTTTTAAAAAATAAATAAAAAGCCATTACAAAAAAAAGTTTTATAAACTTATAGCCAAATTATTACCACAAAAGGCAGTAGCCTATTTTACTACATTTTGCTGTTATCTGTGCTTCTGAGGTTATTTACCTCTCTTTTAGTTGTGTGGTGAAAATCTTACATAAGAGCCTGCTACTGCTTCTCTCTTCTCTTCTCAACTTCACACTCAGTGACGTCATGTTGGTTGCTTGAAAGCAGCCAGTGAGAGAATTTACACCATGGGAAGCAACAGAAGCCACAAATCAGGGCGCTTTTTTTTGCCCCTGACGTGATGGTTGTTAAATATGTACCAGCACACCACTGGATCAACAAAGAAATGGATGGGAGAATGGACAAGGAAGCGACTGGAGTGGAGGCCGTGCTTTGTGCTACCCTCCAGCAAGAGGAAGGGGCTGAACTAAAACCCGTATTGGAGTCAAAAGGCCAGAGGCAGTCCCTGTGATAGAGGAACTGAGGGACTTCTGTCCTGTCCCCTCCCCCAACCCATTCCCCTCACTTTAGCTCCACTGTTTCCACCAGCTGGTGTAGCCTCAGTGTGTCCTCTCGAAGGTCCTGGTAAAGGGACTCGTCCTTCATAATCAGCAGGTACAGATCCTGGGGGGCAGAGGAGAGAGAAGGTCAAGGAAGGGGTTCTCATCCCAAGCATCGCTATCGGCAAGGGCTGGGGCAGGGTCTCCATGCCTTGGAGCACAGAGGGACCATGTACACTTAAGGCACACTGGCATCTTCTTCTTCCAGGTACGCAGCTTGAGGTGTCTGGGTCCCTCAAAGGGGTCCCCTTCCAGAGCTAAGAGCCTGCTCCCCCGCCTTCTCTTCCCAGGCCCACCTTGATAATGCGGCCGGCCCCTTCTTCTTCCTGCAGCAGCCCCTGGTAGGTGTCCAGGAAATGAAGGAGCATGGCTAGACAGGCCTGCTTCCGCCCCAGCCCCTCGGGGCCCTCCATGCCTCCTGCCCAAACAAAGCTGACCCCTTAGTTAAGAAAAAGCCCTGAGCAGGCAGACCTGAAGAAGCTGGGAAGGCAGATGAGAGGCAGTGGGTGGCTAAGCCCTCCCAAATATTCTCTAGGCTTGGGGCCAAGAAGAAAGGAGGTCCAGGTGTCCCTAGAGCCAAGATCCTCTCATGGCTCAGCCCAGGTTTTTTTTCTCAGAGTAGGTACGGATGGCGTCCACTTGACCACAGCCATCTGACCACATCCTGTCTGTTTGCATTTCACTTGAGGATACCCTGCTCAGGCCCACCCAACCTCTGACCAGCCCATAACCTGGAGCTGGGAAAGGCCAGCAATGCTTACCACAAACCTGACCGTACCTCAGTGTAAGGCCCGGTGTTTCTAAGAGAGCCTATGGTATTCTAGTCAATGGCCTGACATTTACAATTAGGTCCTAAAATAACTCAGCGAGAGGCCCTATGCTTACACGAGACCCTATGAATAGCTCAGCCAGTGGCTCGTCTCTAACAGACCTTACTAAAGCATAGCCGTGACCTGATGTTTACATCGGACCCTATAATAACTCACTGGGCAACCAGATGTTTAGAGCAGCAATCCAGTGGGGAGAGAGGCACTCTTAATAGAATAATAACCCCTTACATTTGCACAGGGCTCTGCAGTCTCCAAAGCACTCCCACATCTACTATCAGATTGATCTCCACAGCAGCCCCACAGGTAGGCAGGGCAGGTGGTATTTACCCCCTTTTTACAGGAGAGGAAACTGAGGCCCTAGGAGGTTAAGAGGTCTGCCCGAGGTTACACAGCTGTTGAGTAAAACCCCCTGATTTGAAACCCAGGTGTGTTTTCTAGGGAAGAGTGGAGGCCCTGACATCACACATGGGGTAGGGGGCGTGGCTTCCTCCCGACCTCCCCTTTTGCAGGCTCCATAAAAGGATATTACTGGTGTAGCTCCTGCAGAAATTTCTCCGTGGGGAGGAAGAGAGAATGGGTGAGGACGATGTCATCCAGCAGGATATCTGTAGAGATCAATTGGCGCCACTGATGTCAGGCGGGCACTTCCAGCACCCGACTGGACACTCGCTACCTGCCCCGCCCCCCCCGCCTCCTAGAATGAGTTCTCCTTAGCCAGGCTGGAGCCCTGGCCACCTGCCCCGTCATGCTCTACACAAGCGAGAGGGCACATGTGTGAGGGTTCTGGGCAGCCGCTGCGGGGGTGGGGTTGGCAGCTGCCAAGGCAGCTGGAGGGAAGGGGAGGGGCGCCCTTCGATGGCCACGCCCACTTATCTTCAATGCATATGGGAAGCTGATCAGATACTATAGCAAGCTTAAGATCTGCCTGAAAAAAGAAGTTGACCACAGAAGTGTCACTAGACACTAGATAAAAAGAACTTCCAAGCGGAGGTTAGAGTCAGTGGTGTGTGTGTGTGTGTGTGTGTGTGTGTGTGTGTGTGTGTTCATCCCTCCCGCCCTCCCTACTCTCTACCTACAACTTTGACTTCCAACTAGGCAGGTGAGAACCAGCCCCATTAAAAGGGAGAGGGAGTGACTGCCATCTCTTTGATCCCCAAAGCCTTTAAATAGAAACTCTGTGTCCTCTGGATGCCCAGAGATGGAAGGGTTAATGATGGAAGGGTGGAGGGGAGTGGCTCTCACCACCCTTTCCCCCTCCACACCCCCATCTGGGCCTGGCTCAGCCAGTCAGCCAGGTACAAGGTCGCCCTGACTTGCAGCCAGCCCTGGGGTGGGGCAGGGCAGCCTGGCACACACAGACAAGCCAGGCGCAGGGAGGGAGCCAGGTGTCCTCACCAGGACAGGTTAGGGCCGGGTCCCCAGGCACTGCCCCTGGACAAAACCAAGGCTTCTGACGTCCCTTGGCTCACCCACCATGCCCTGGCCTCTGATTCAAGGCATGAAGGAGGAGAACCAACACAAGATCCTCTATTTTAACTACTGCATTTCACAAATGAGAAACCGAGGCCCAGAGTTGGGAGGGACTTGCTTGGAGCTGGGATAGGAACCCAGACTCCTGAGTCTTTGTTCTTTTCTCAATATGCCTGAGGCAAGCAGAGTGTCAGGGTAGAGGATGGTGGTTAGATGGGGCTACTTAGATGTTTGTGAGTCTTTGGCTGATTTGGGAATAACTTCTGTAAGTCCCCCTCCCCCCCGCCCGCCCCACCTCCCACACACCCTGGGAAAAAGCCAAGATGGCTTGAGAACATTGGTTATATTGGACAATATCAGAGTGGCAGATTAAACTGATTCTCATTTACTTACCGGTTCCCCAAACCAGTTACTCTGGGGATCTAGCCTGCCAGCCCAGATAATAGGGTTACAGTCGATTCAAGAGTCCTACCCCAGGGGAGACCAGCCACAGTGTGTGGCACCAGGCCCCTGTGGAAGGGGAGAGACAGTTCCCCCCTTTTCCTCCCTGCCCAGCTACCCTGCTATGCTCTTAAAGTGAGGCTGAGAGCCCCAGCCCTGCCCCCCTGCTCCAAGGATGGTGACAAGGAATAGAGATGCCCAGCATCCTTCCTGTCTATTTCACAGGAGAGCAAAGCAGAGCAAAGGCAGAGGAACGTGGGGCAGAGTGGGGGAGATGCCGCTACGGGGGCTACGGTTTGGCGTCTGTCTCTTCCAAGCCAGGCTCGGGTCCAATGCACAGCCTCCCCAGGGAATGTGTCATAGAGACACAGGGTGTGTGGTGTAGGCGGGAAGTTATGGTTAGGAGAGCTGTGTGTGTCTGATATTTTTCTAATTAAATCCAAAAGGTGTCAGCTCCCCAGGGCAACGACAGCTGAGCCAAGGAGAAGGCCCAGGTCTTGAGAAAAATCTAGGGGTGGGGGGTGGAGTCCCATTCCACACGCCTAGGTTCAGGCTCCCTACACAGGTCTAAGAGCAAAGTGTGAAACCCCCATCTGGAGGCCCTCAACAAGGGCTCCCCATCCTCAGACCTTGCTGGGCTTAGGGAATTACTGAGAGGCTGACCTAAAGACCCGCCAGCCTTCTACCTCCCCCACCAATCGGCAATTTGGGGTCTCAGTTTCTTCAAAGTCCCCTGAGTAGGGGTGCTGGTGGGGAGTGGTGAAATAGTGTCATGGTTTAGGGAATAAGCTTCTCAGGGTGTGGCTATTATTTTTTAAAGAGGCTGTGTGCTGAGGTCTACCTTGGGAAGGGCAGGAGTTGGAGGGGCTCAAAATCCCCTCAGTGCTGCAGGGGCCTCATGTCTGGCTGCCCAGCCCCCTCTCCCCCAACAAACACCTTCCGAGTCAGCCCCCAACTCGCATGCCTCCTTCCCCCTCAAGCTGCTCAGGATCCCTTTGCGGGAGCCCGAAAGGCAGCTTGGGCCCCGTGCCTCTCTAGCATTGCCCTACTGAGTGGGCCAGCCCTGTGCTCTGGGACTTCTAGACAGAAGCAGGGACTCTGGGAAGGTCTCTCAGGTCCTGGGCAGCACCTCTTGGAGCAGGGGGTGTGAGGCACTGGTGTGCTCTGGGCAGCTTCCATTTTAGTGTGTCGGGCCTTAATGTGGGGCCACAGAAGGAGGTAGTCACCATCAGGGACCCATGGGAGTCTGGATAAAATGTCCAGGGGAAAGGAAGGGTGGCTTGAGGGGAGAAAGAGTTCAGCTTCTTTTCCAGCCAGTGGGTGAGGCTGCTACAGGGAGGAAGGTGGCACAGCCACTTCCCTTCTGCAGAAGGGTCTGTTCCTCCCCTAGGCCGCTGCCCCACTTCAGCTGACCGCTCAGCCTCACACCGAGGCTCCCGCCATGGCGCCACCCCCACTCTCCAAGGGCAAGGAAGAGGAACCGGGTAACAAGCCCCTACTCCCGGGATGCGCGAGCCTTACCTGAGGCGGCGCTGTCCCTGGTGGCCCCTCCAGCGAGCCGCTCCAGAACCCGGTTCAGAAGATGCTCCGGCCGCTCGGGGGCGCCCAGGGGGGCCCAGGGCGGGGAAGTCAGGGGCTCGCCGGGGGATAGCTCGTCAGAGGAATACGAGGAAGGGGAGCGCAGGGGTCCCCCTCCCCCGAGCGGCCCGGGCCCTGGCACCTCCTCAAGCTGCAGCCAACAGGGCCCCCCGCTACCGAGCTCCTCCGCGACCCCCGCTGGCTCGCCCCCTTCCTCTTCGGGTGGCGGCTCCAGCCCCGGCTCTGCGGGGGGCTCCCGGAGGAAAGCTGGGAGCAGCAGGCGAGACACGCTCTGACGCCGCTGCAGCGGCCGCAGTCCCCCGGTTGGACCGCAGCCCCCGCCAGGTCCTCCGCCCCCGCCAGGCCCACCGCAGCAACCCGGACCCCCGCCGGGACCTCCCGCCACCGTTCGCCCTGCCAGCTGCGACGTCTGCTTCTTCAAAAATTTCTCCAGCGGCTTCATGCCCCCCCCCCGCCCCTCTCCTCGGGGCCGCCGGAGGACCCAGGTGTCCCAGGCGCGGGCGGGGGGGGCGGGGACACGATGCTTAGAGCCGGAGGGGCAGAGCGGAGGGCCGTGCCAGGCGCTGGACTGGGGGCCAGAGGAGCCCGAGGCTCGCTGGCCGGGGTCCAGTGGCCAGTGGCCCGGGGAGGTGCCAGAGGGAAGGAGTGCCCGCTGCTAGTGGCCCCCCATGCCGGTTGCAGCTGGCACGCGGCCCGGAGGGTGGATAGGCTGCGGGGCCAGTGCCCGGGGCTCTGCGCTCCTGGGCCGGGCTGCGGCGGCAGAGACAGCGGGCGGAGCGCAAAGCTGAGAGAGGACGCGGCGGCGGCGGCGGCGGCGGCTGCGCTCCTGGCCAGGGGGGAAGGTGGCAGAACTGAGACCGCGCCCCCTCCTCCAGTCTCCGCCCAGTCCCCGCCCCTGCCCCTCCTGGGCCCGCCCCCTGGCCCGCGCGAGGCTTGAACTTGGGCGCTGGGGCTGGCCGCGAGGGAAATAGTGAAGGGCTGAATGGGATTGGCTTCAGCGCTGCTGCAGAAATTAAGGGCAAAGGTGATAGAGTGATTTAGCAATGGAGAGAGTCTGGCTTGGGGGCTTACAGGGGCTCTTAGTTTCCTTTCAAAGAAGTAGGGCAGGCCTGTGGCCTGCAGACTTGGGAATGACCTGTACTCAGGTGAGACCTACAAAGATTGCTGATTGGGTGTCCATCACTCTCAACCCCGACACTATGTTCTGTTGCTATATTTGTGATCTTTATCTTCCTTCTATAAGAAGGGCTGGGAGGGCCTCAAGTGGATTGGCATTGGCACTGGGGGCGGTGCCCATCTGCCCTTTCCGGTAGGGCACAATAGGTGGTGAGGGCCTGGCTTGTGAGAGGCAGGTGCTGGCAGGCAGGCAGGAGCCAGGCGAGGACCAGCAGGTTGTGGCAGGTCTAGTTGGGGTGAGGAGAAGAGACGAAGGCAGGGGGGAGGAGATGAGGAGGACAGGGGCATCTGAGCCCAGCTGGCAGCAGGAGAAAGCAGGACCGTGGAGACGAATGACAAGCTCCAAAACTGCCAAACAACATCATTTAGCACAGAGCCCCTCCAGAGTGGACACGGCCATGGAGTAGGGCAAGTGATGCCAATTTGCACTCTAATAAGTGATCTTTACTCCTGATGCCTGTGCCAGGAGCCTTGTCCCTAAGGATACACTGCCCCAGAAAGAGGTAGTGGGTCTAGAGAGACACTCAGTGTAAACACATCAAGGTTAAAGTAACAAGGTGGGGGGGAGTGGCACCAGGTTTCAGAGAGACTGAAGCTCCTAGGACAATGCCCCACCCCTGTTTACCGTGCAGGGACCAGGCAGGGACAGGAATGCTAAAGGCTGGGAGTGGTTGAATTGAACAGGGTGTGTACTCCACACGTGTCACTGTGTGTGCATATCTGGTCCTATGTGTGCTAGAGCATGTGTTTACAGAATTAAAGCTTTGCACACCCATCTGTTTGTGGATTTCAAAAGGAAAAAGTAAAAGGGAGAGAACAGTTTTGGCTAAAAAGCTGGAATAGAGATCTGAGTATCAGCTTGCTGGGCTCCCTTTACTGGATACCCCACTACCCCTGGGGTTAAGAGGAGAAACTGGCTGGAGTGGCTAAGAGCTCCCCAGGCATTTTGTGAACCAAATAAGAAGAGGAGAGGGCTCCACTCCCAGCACATGCCACAGTTACCAGATTAAGCTGGTTGCCTTGGTAACCTCCTCTCTGGGCAGGATTTGGGATTGTCAGTTAGGAAGGGGAAAGATTTGGGGAGTGTGGAGGGTGTGGGGGCTGGAAATAAAGGAGGCAGAGACACTTCTGGAAACTGATAGCTTGGGGAGCAGGACCCCAGCACCCCTGCAACCACACAAGGATATCAGGCAGAGACTAAGTTCAAAGACTTGAATGAGGAAGGAAAGCCAGCATGGAATCATGCCTAGAACAGTGGCTCTCACCCCAACTGCACACTGGAATCCAGGGGAACTAAAAAATACAGACGCCCAGGCCACAGTTGGAATCAATTACATCTTTGAGGTGAGGCCAAGGTTTATGGTATTTTTTAAAAGATCCCGAAGCACTGCTCACTTTGGCAGCACATACAGTATAAGTGGAATGATACAGAAATTAGCATGGTCCCTGCATAAGGATGACACGTCAAAGATCCCCATGTGATTCAAACAGCCAGAGTTGAGAATCACTGCCCTAGAGGGACAACCCAAGTGAGCTGTAGGTGCTAGGAGACAACTTCAGGATTCTAAGACCTGGCCCACAAGGTAGCAAGCCTGTGTGTTGACCCCACAAGGGAGGGGGGCTGGCATGGAAGAAATAGAGAGGAAGAGAGTGGTATGATTAACAACTGTGAGAAGATGGAGGCAAAAACTTTGAGAGCCCAGCCCATGAACTTCTAGAAGGGAATAGGGCAAGGCTACATAAAGGCTGATCTGTGTGCCCCTTATACTCCTTTCCTGCCCACTGAGAGGCAGGCTGGTAGGGCAGAGAACCTGGGGGCTTTGCTGAGCTTGAGTTTCTCCTTGCTGAGCTTGTTACCAGGGCAACGGAGAGCAATGGGATCTAACTGCAGGACTGGGGAAGCAAGAGGCAGGGGTGAGGGGGAAGCATCTTAACACAGTCATCCCTCCTGCTAGTATCCTACCCCCAAGGGTGCCTGGCATTCTTTGCATGACCCCAGGAGATCAGGCCCATAGTTACCCATCACCTTGTGGGGGAGGAAGAAAGCAAATGGACATGATTAAGAGGAATTAGGGGTAGAGGGTAAAAGAATCATGGTCTTCTGGCTCAAGCAATAGCACCAAGGGATATAAGGGGAGACCCAACTGTTTTAAGGTGTACCTTGATGCCCATGCCCCCAGTGTACAATGATTTGTGGTCCCCAAGAATAGATGCCACTAGCTCCACATTAAATACAATTGTTCCCCCACACTGGGAACCACCTCTGTAATAAACTTCAGCCCACCCAGGATCTGGAAGAAAACAGTCACTTCAAAGCTAGCGACTGGCCTGTGTACATCTGGGGCTCAGTGAACTGGATAACTGGCAGCATAAGCCATAGTTGGTGGTCTCAGTCATTCCTCTTTACTTTTACTAAGGTTGACAGAAACCTCCCTCTTAGGCTGTGGTTCTTGGTACTTCAGTGCCAGAGTGTCTTTACTTTTCAAGAAGAAAGCTTAGCTGCCTTTGCCTCCCCCAGTACAGCTGTATTGGCTTTGGGCACATTACCCTAGGAAACTCACTTGCCAAACACTAACAAAGGTGAAAGGGTACCTATATGTTCATGCGGGTGAGGTGCCTCTCACTAGTTTTTCTGTTCCTGATGTTTCCAATCAAAGGGACTGAATGAGATCCTGGGTCCATGTGGCAATGTAGTTAGGCTAAGACAGCCACTGGGGAGTATAGACACAACTGTGGGTTCCTCACCTCTCAGAGCTTCTTAAGTTGCCTTGAGTTGTGACTGACTCTGGGGGAGTCAGTAAATCCTCTACTGTCCCTCCCAAATCAAGACTCATGCAAAACACTGGCAAAGGAGCCAAGTTTACAGTCTAAATTTTATTATCTCCAAGTCACAATGCTGATCACAAATGTGCACCCTTTAAAATAGTAACAAACAACAACAACAACACACATGGAGAAATTCTTGCAACGAAACACAGTGGACCAACAGAGACAACTGTCACAGTGTCTTAAGGTCTGGGAATCTGGGCATGCTGCCCACAGGCTTGAGGAGACATCTTCAGGTTTAAGGCAAAGGGAACAGCCTACAAAGGCACAACCACCAGCTACCCCTAGAAGAATCTCTCAGTTATTTCCTCCTTGGGGGTTACAGCTTGAGTGCCTCTCCCCACTCCCCACCCCACACCTGTGACTCAAGAGTTGTCAGGTCAGCTCCTGGAGAGAATAGAAACAGCGACATTACTTGGGGAGACACAGCTACCACCATGTCCCTTAGCTTCTGTAGGACAGGGACAGTGGCCAAGTTACCCCTGGCAGACACAAGCGCTGCAGTACTAGGGATCTCTTCCGCAGAGGCAGCAGGGGAGTGGTTCAGCTCTATGGATAGGGAGGAAAAGAGGGAGGAGCCCTTGCCCCAAAAGTGACTGGCTTCCTTAGGCCTGAAGCCCAGATGTGGTATCTTCTGTTTGCAAGGACAGGAGCAGAACTCGGGGAAAATCAGGTAGTAACACCTAAAACACTTGTAGTAGGAAAGACATGGAGAAGAGCAACTGCAAAGTATAGGGTAAGACCGCTTGCTGGACAGTATCTGCCTCTAGAGAGATGCATTGGTCCACAGCAACTGGAAAGGGGGCGTGGGAGGAAGGATGGAAAGAGAAGCAGGGCCCTCTAATTCCACTTACCTCAAAGACTGAGCCCTGAGGACTGTATGAATACAGACCCCTAAGGTGCAAAGGCTTACTCCACTTTCCCTTTCTCACAAGGGCATCTGGATTGCCATCTCTCCCCACGGTAGACTTTGCCCTCAAGTAGAGGACTGACACCTATACAGTACGGGGACTGATGGAGGCTCAGGCTCCTGAAAACCAAAGTCAAGAAGAAGGGCTCCTACTATACACTTTGAACTTTTCTCCACAATGAGACACTGTGGACGGCTCTGCTTCGAGGGTTATAGGAATTGAGAGAATCCAAGTATACAATAACAAGGGCCAGCCGAAAATGAAAGGCCACCTCTTTATAGACTTGGTGGGGGAAAACTTGCTGGTAAAACTTTAATTATCTGGGATGCAGGGAAAGAGCAAAAGGGAACCCAGAGGAGCTAGCAAATCAGAAGAATGAACTCGTCTCAGTGAAAGGCAGAGAGAAAAAGAAACTAAAAGAATATTAATTTAAGAATAGTAAGCCAGGCTTTAAAAACGAACATCTTAGGAAACAAAACATACAGGAAAGAGCTTCCCTGGGAGAAGACACTTGAATTTCCCAGGAAAA